TGTCAGTTTCCTCGTTGTTCTTTTTGGTGAACACTTGGGCCGGATTTTCGGCTAGTCGTTCAAATAAGTTACGGGAAGTTTTAAAAAGACAAGTTATGAATGAGTCTTGAGACATTTTTCTGAGAACCTCAGAAAATCTACAAGTGATACTTTCTCTGCTTTTAGAGGCCAAAACATCGTGATTAACTTTGAACTGAGTTGGTGAGATCTCACTGAAAATCTTATTTTCAGTAAAATACGAGTTTTGGCCTTTTCACTGTTATTAAAAGGGAATTGCTTCACTAGCAGTGACGAGGCATGAATGATCGATTATCGATTTTTCCCCATTTGAAGCTACGGTGAAAGATCGATTAACAAGGCGTTCGTTGCGAACACCCTTTTCATTGATCCTTTTCCACAGGTTTAAAAGGGAGATTAATTGTATCGCAAAGCACGCAACGCCACTGTACACTAGGTTTGCTTTGCTAAAACGCGTATATTTGCGATTATGTAATATTTTTCAGGACAAAATTATGTTGAAAATAATTTTAACTAATTTTTAAAACTATCCTTAAGTCGGTGTATTTCCTTTTCTCCCAAATTGGTGGACGAAAAATTTCTTCCAAGCGTTTCCCGAAATATAGGTGGATATCTTTATCTGTATCCCATTAATCATGAGATGTCAAATATTTGAAAGTTCGTGCACTATAAATCTCTTCATAACTTCGCGCCTTTTGCTAAAACCGTTCAAAAAAGAGAAAAAGCTAAAAAGTGTAATATACGAAAGACCGAGAACAACTTTTGCTGGTTAGAGGGGAGTTGTCGTGCGATATTGGCCGCACTCCAATGAAAAAGGAACCGGTCGAAATCTTTTCGCTTTGTCTTGAATTCGTGCCACCATAATTTTTATGAAACATTTTCGACGACTATTTCGCTCGTGTTTTTCATTACGGGGGTTAGCATTTTGGCATCGGGGACTGTTTCCACTGCAGCTCAAGCTGAAAAACGCGGCTTGGGATATAATTCAAGAGTTGTGTTCTTCAGCACTTTGTTTTAAATATGGAATTCAAAACAAAGAACACGTTTTTGTGACGTACAAATACATCCGAATTTTACTGTTCTCGACCTGTCCGCCTGTTTTAACGAGTGCTTATTTTCTCATTTTTGCTACCGCAGCTCGTAGCCAAGAATTTCAAATTAAGAGACGACTCAGATCGAGAGACAACTCATATTACAACTTTCTTGGGGACTAAGTTGAATTTTTGGGTCAAAATTCAACTGTTCGTTGCAAACTCGAGGTTACAAATTTATCAGTGAACTTCAAAAGGCAGTTTCTTCATTAACAAATTAGAGAAATCAGCAAACTAAGGGTAGAGATATTAATCTCAGGAAATTTTCTCACGTAAAATTTTATGAATATGAAGAATTTCTTCTCTTTAAAAGAAAAAAAAATAGACGTAATAAAAACGAATATCGAGGGCGTAAGTCCGCTATCACATAACTCGTTTGCGGTGTCTGAAAATCTCCGCCTCTATGTAATTTTTTTTAAAGGAGAACAAATTTAAATCATTCTTTGAAGTTTTTGCAGAACTTTCTTCGCACAGAGAAGAGAAATCACGGCAGTTCTAAAGCATTGCTGTTGAGAGTTTCCCGTTTAAAAAATAAAGTGCGACAGGAAGTCTTCGACGTCGCAAACCGAGTTATGCGATTGCCGACCACACCGTTTTTATGCCCAATTCCCCATAAATAATACAAATTCACTTTTGATTCAATGGAAAATGAAAAAAATAAGGTCGAATCATCTAGCACAGTAGATTTCTGGTTGTAAAATTAGCTCTTGATAATGATCCAAATCCCTTTTCGATTGATCAATAGCTATGACCGTCTTACCCAAAAGAGGCCTTGTAGAATAAGTGCAGCCTGAGCGGGAGAAAAAAAATTATCTGTCCGTGTTGGAAAGTAAGCTATCAATCAATGCAGTACCTTTTCATTAACTCTTACGGATTTATCTTCAGAAAATAAATTCTATTTTGAATTTTTTTCAGTTAGCAACTGAAACTTTCTTCATAGCTTTTTTTCTGCCCGTTGATTGAGATAAACCGTGAAATAGTGATTCACTCTTCGTTGTCATGCATATTCAGAGTGTCTCATTAAATGAAGGCTGAAAATGTACTCGGTTTGTCCTAATTACTAGCCGCAAAGCGCAATTTGAATGGCGCTAATTTAAATTTTACCCCCATTTTTTCTTTGCCTCGTCTCCTCCGCACGATTTTAAGTTTCAAAAAGTTCTGGCGAAAGTCCCCGGACCGCTCTCATTATTCAAATGCCTTCTTACTTAAAATTCTTTTGATGAAGTTTGTATAAGCGCTACCGCTAAGTGGTAGCGCACTCTCGGCTTGATAAAAAGTTTTGAAGATGAAACACCTTGGGTACTCCAGTGTTTGCTCTTTCTCGGGCTAATAAAAAAGGAGAAAATAAAAGTTCCACGGCAAATTATGAGGGGGACGAGTGGAGGCGTGGCACGGAAGGAAGTATCAGGGATCGATACGAGTTTTTTTTTTTTTTTTTTTTTTTTTTTGAAGGAAGAAGATGGGGTACAAAAATAGTCGTTTCCCGCACGAGGGAACGTCACTCCACTCCAAGGTTGCAAAATTATCTTAAAAAATTCAATTTTTCTACAAGAATATACCCAAAAAATGTTTGTCCAAAATTTGTCTGATTTTTGCATATGGTCCGAAGAAAAATCAGTGAAAATTTCGGTCAGAAATTCCTAAAATTCTCGCGGTAAAAATGCAGTTTGCGAGGGGAAATTTGACAACATTGGAATGTAGTTACGTTGTTTCGAGAGGGAAACGACGAAATGCACGTAGTAATTTCTATTCACCGTGCACACTTTTGATAAGGGTGGTGGAAATATCTGGCAGCTTTATTCGCGTTCGGGCACACAATGGTGTATCGAATATTAAATCCTTTCAGCTGCTCGTTCATAGGGTGTATTTATCGAGAGCATTAAAATATTAATTAACAGTTTCAGGTGGGTAGCAATCAGAGTTGCCGATTTTGAAAAATATTGCTTTTCTCCTACGATTTAAAGAGGGGCGTAAAGCATACGGGATATGAGCAAAAACAGGCACATTTGAAACCATCAAAAATATAGATACCGCTGCAGAGATTTATTATTTTTATCTGTTTGAATAATATTCATAAATAACATCGAGACTTTGTTTTGTCAACCTATAACTGGTGATTGAAAACACTGAATTCCAAAAAATGTAGTATAATTGGACTGCATTTTGCAATTTGGACCTATAAATTCCGGCCCGGTTTAAAAACAACGTATGTGCCATTGGTTTCCCTATGCACATAAGTGTTTTTTCAGATAAGCCAGAATTTATAGGTCCAAATTGCAAAATGCAGTCCAATTGAACCTCGCTGCAGTCGACGCTGCCGTTAAAATAATTTCTTATTTTCTGTGACGTCATTTGTCAGGCAAGTGAAACGAAGAAAATCCTGCTCTGAGAAACATAGAGACTTTCCTGGAATTTTTTTATAATTTTTTTTTTCAATTTTTGAACCGCGATAGGTCAAAATACCCATATAAAATATCTCGATCGAAAAAATTCCAGACAAGAATGTTGCACTATTGAGGTGTTCAAGCACCTGGATTGTCCTGTAAGACCACCATGACCAAGAATAAAAACGACCAAATTGCCACTCACTTTCATGGTAAAATATAGTATAATAAACGTTATTCACCTGCTCCTAAAGACTTATACACTCTCTGAACTTCATTATCAATTTTTTGGGGAGTTTGGGGAGGGGGCGGTTCGCCGAGCTTACGATCACTGGAATTTTTATGCAAAATTTTACTACCAAAAATGTTCACACGTAATTTCTTGCAGCGTGTTTCTTAAATTTAAAAACCCTGTACCTCGGGCCTGATAGTATAAAGGCATATCATAATCAATTACTTAACACTTAAAGATCCCTTTCCAATTATGCCAAGAATGAAAATATCTCGATTTTTCCAAAATTCTTTGTTGCGTTTTTCTGGTTCTTAACTACGGATATGTTTTGGACATTTCTTTTTTAATCTTTTGACCTACAACCCTCTAAAGCACTCTTTAAGGGACACATGGCATGGGTGCAGTTTTTGCTATTTCGAGAAGTACTTGTTTGAAGTTTCGAAATTACATGGATCTTTAGGGCGGAAAGAGAGTTCAAACTGACTTTTTGATGCTTTAAAATTGGAATGGAGATGTTGCATGTGTGAGGAATTTGCGATTTGACTACTGTTTCATATGTAAAAGTTCGCGAGAAACACGATGGCGCCACTGGTTCTCTCTGAAATCAACTCCCATGCTCAAAAAAAGCTCTTAAGTTGAGGCCAACATGGAGGGGATAGCCCACGCTATCCTGAGAGTCCACCTCTACATCAAGACCAACTCTCCATGCAAAGATAGGGAGAAAATACATTGACAGGGCTGCCACTTTATTTGGGGACTCCATAACTGAAAACACGGCAACCCTGTCAATGTATTTGCTCCCTATCTTCGCATGGAGAGTTTGTCTTGATGTAGAGGTGGACTCTCGGGATAGCGTGGGATATCCCCTCCATTTTGGCCTCAACTTGAGAGCTTTTTTTGAGCTTGGGAGTTGATTTCAGAGAAGACCAGTGGCACCATCGTGTTTCTCGCGAACTTTTACATCAGAATCAACAGTCAAATCACAAATTCCTCACACATGCAACATCTCCATTTGGAAGCGAATTTTTCACAGAATATGCATTAGGACTATTTTTACTTGAAATCATGAAAATCTCACTTTTTTCAAAAACTGCACTTACCCGCCCTATCCCCCAAGCCCCTCATTAGGCGTATCCAGGCAACAAGTGAACGACGCCAACGGATCGGGGTTCGCGGGATGGGAGTGGTCGGACGAAACCTTGAGAGATCCTTTTACTATGGGTGTGGCTTTCCCTAGCCGTTTAATAGCCTTTGCTATTCTGTTTTATGTTCCAGTTGTGTCTGACGTCGAAAGTGAGCATGGCCGATTTCAACATGGGCTACTGCATGACGGGCTCGCTGGAGAGAGGCACGAAGAAAGACAACTGCTTCCAGACGACGCACTTTGCGGTCATTAGGAGGAGGGACTTCGAGAAGTACTGATTCCGCGAGATATGCAGCGCCTGACGCCTTGCTCAATGCACCACCAACGCGGCACCCGTCTGCCGGGGCCCCAGCGCAGCGACCCCCGGGCCCCGGGTACACACCCGCTGAAAAGGTGGGGCGCCCCTTGCTTCGCCGTTGAGTGGTTCAAAAAGAATCCTTTTGTTTTGTTCTGTTTTTCGTTGATTGTGTAGAGTTCTTTTTGGAATTCGTGTCGGAAAAAGAAAATTGACGGCTGAAGTTGAAAAATGTCCACATCCGCTCTTGTCTTATTTTTTTGAGAGAAAGTTGGATGACGAACCAACAGCCTAACTACATTTTGCGTTTTCTAATTGGCTCTCATGTTTTATTTATTCTTGTAACAGGGAACTAAACGATTTAGCAGCTTTTAACTTTTTGTGAATTTACTGGACTAATCATAATCTAGAGTTTCAGCTTAAACAAAAAATCAAGTTTTCTGTTTAAAAAATAAAAAAGTAGATAGTACCTGATGTAGATACGCTGGTTTTGGTCGATTTCGTCCACCTAATTAATCAAAAAATTTTCTGTAACTATTGTCTCGTTTACTGAGGTATATCTATAGAATCTTTCAAGGAGATGATTTGGACTATTTTGCAATTGGGAACTATAATTTCTGGCTCTTCTGGAAAAACACCTTTATGCGTAGAGAAACGAATGGCGCATACGTTGCTTTTAAACCGGACCAGAATTTATAGTTCCAAATTGCAAAATGCAGTCCATTTGGTCAATTTCCTCCAAAAAAATAAAACATGATCGGAGATTTTGAAACGTTAAAATTAAGATGCATATTTTTCGACTGTAGTCATCAAAGTAAATACGTACAATGTCTGTTTTACTTGGAGTAAAATGGAGCATCATTTACTGGAAGGTACGTCGTATAAGGAGGCAATCTACGGCAAAAGTCTCAAAACACAAATCTGAATCTGTGACGTTGCAGATTTCTCACCATGGTTCAATTTTCTAAAGGATGAACCTTATTTCTTGGAATTTTTATTGATTTCTTTTCATCTCGTGTAAAATATTATAAGAAACTTTCAAACAATCCGTTTGTTTCTTTTTTTCTTATTTAAGAAATAATAATAATAATAATAAAGCAAGAGCAAAGATTTGGAAACGACAGATTAGAGATATGTGTTCTTTGACCCTCGCCATTGATAAGGGCTTGATCTAATGTTAACCGTTGCTATTGGATTGGGTAACGCAAACGTGCATATTGTGTAAAATTTAACAATTTTAGTCAATCATTTTTACGAGGCTTAATTTTATTAGAACTTTTCAAAGTTTGCGTTGCCTTGGCGTTTATTCCTGCGAAAACTGTATAATCATCTTACATTTTACTTCGATGTACTCGTAAATTTGGTTTCAAAGCTTAAGGATTTTTTAAAGATAAATTTTAGAATTTTCCTCCTGTCTAATTTTTCTTTAAACAATAACAAAAGTATGGTTGCAAAGTTTTAGTGCTTATGATTCCCATTTGTTCCGAGTAGCTTTTTTAATCATTCATGTTTTTTAAACATTCCGTCCAAAAGTATTCAGAATATTATTAATTGCTTTCCCTCATCCTACAAGCAGGATTACAGAACCGAGAGTGTTTAATTTTTTAGAATGCTGTTCTATTTTTTTCTCTTTTCTTTCAAGTCCATTCCGCTCCATTTACCTATGCAATCAGGGGTGGGTTTTTTGACAAGCCCTATAGACGATAGTCTCAAATGGTCAATTCTGTTTTGCTTTTGCAAAATTTTGTGAAAATAGAATACACACGCACATTCCATCTACTTTCAACTTATTTTATGGTAGCATTTACTTCATAAAATTTGTGTTTATTTGGTTTGTGAATATTGAATTCAGTTTTTAATTTTCCAAGGGTGCCCTGTCCTCCTGCTGAAAAAAGCGTCTTCTTCAGAAGCAGCAAATAGTCTTTTTCCTCTGACGGCTTTGAAAATCTACCCCCAGAGCATAATTTTTTAAGTAAAAGCAAAACAACAAACAACAAACAAAACAAGGAAACTAGCCACAATTTTCCGTCCAAACTATTTTATTAATTAAATTTTCGTGTACACAAAATTCACCACAGACCGTCTCATATTTGTAAACTTAAGTATTTCATTTTAGCATTTTATCAGTAGATAGGCAGCAAACACAACACTCCAATGAAGTAGCAATAATCGAGGGGCCTGGAGGGCAAGCCGCATGAATGCACTTTTGAAAAAAATTGAGACATAAATGATTTCAAGTAAAACTAGTCTTAATGCATATTCTGTAAAAAATTCGCTCCCAAATTCTAATTTTAAAATATCAAAAAGTCGGTTTGAACTTGCTTTCCACCATGAGGATCCATGTAATTTCGAAACTTCAAACACGTATATTTGGAAATAGCAAAAACTGCACTTATGTGTCTTTTGTCCTCCAAGCCCCTCAGTTATTCCAAGCAATTGCAATTATTGCAATCTGTGCTACTCACACGGTATGATATTTCTGTACGGAGAACACAAAATCGAAAATTTGTATTCGAGTCACATTTTTTCACTGCCCTGAAAAACTCCTCCTTGTTTTCTCCGATTCGATGAAAAATAACGCCAGCAGTGGCGTGCCGTGAATTGAGATGTATCGATTGTCATGCCATTTAAACCTGTGGTAAAGAATCGATTATTGTGTGTTATCGATTTAGTGTTCGCTGCGAAAACCCTGTTTATCGATACTTTTCCATAGGTTTAAATGGCATAACAATCGATATATAGCAAAGCACGCCACGCCACTGAACACCAGAGTTCCTTGAAGCCATCGAACGTCTCTCTCATGTGCGAGACATTTTACTAATTGCCGTCCCGTCAGCAGATTACCCGGCACCTGACATATCGTCGCCACTCAGACGTGTGGGCGTAACTCTATTTTCACATGAGCCCTGGAGAGCATGTACTTACACAGATAACAGGGCTCACGTTTAAATCGAGATACGCCCTTACGTCAGGGGTGCGACGATATGACAGTTCTCGGTGCCAAGATGTAGCGCCACCTGAGCTCTCCCTCGACTTTATCAACGGATAAATCGCTGATCGCTAAGCTAGAACGCCCTATGAGCATTCAAATGTTGCCAAATCTACTCTCAGAAAATACTAATTTTCAAAGAAAGATATGAATATTATTCATTGAAATTTTCAGACACTTTCGATCAATTTACAAACAAAATCCACCAAAAATGTAGAGGAAAAATACTTGGAATTTCCTCGAAAATTCTTGAAGTACCGAGAGGAGTTTGGCAACTTCTGAGGGGATTTACAATGTTCTTCCGTAGCACGGCTGAAATTTCTCTCCATTATATTTTCACACCCTCTCCACCGGAGTATAATCAGTTTTAAAGGGCCTCGTGTCTAGTCCCTGGGATTTTTTATCGATCCGAGGCCCTTTGTATCCAAAGGCCGTTTATTACCTTTTAATTGAAAGCGTGAGCCAGCTAGCATTGTTTTTCGCATCTGACGCGTTCTTTTTTTTCGGGTGGGATTAGCTGGCGTCACTTTTTTCCGAACGTAATTGATCCCCAATCGATAAAAGGGTTGTCCCATTGTTTGCTCAGGGACTGCGGGGCCGAAAACGTGGGGCCATAGCGCAACACCTGGCATATGCTGTACGTTTGCAGAGCCTCTGTATGAATACTCCGTGTTTGTCGTGCTGTTGTTTCAGGGCATGATTTTTCCTCTCCGATGTTTGTTGAACGAATTTGAACTCCATATACTTTTAATTGATTTTGAGAAAACCAATCTATGGGCTCACCTGTTAGGGAACCTGTATTGTGATGCCAAAAAACTCAGTTGGAAAAATTCGATGATGAAACTAGATACTTGATTGTACTTTTTCAAAATACATGCTCAATTTTCAATTGTGCAATAGTTCAAACTTTTTTTTTTGGGGCAATCCACAGGAAGTATTTTGGACAAGCAAAGCGAAATAGAAAGAAATTGTATCCAAAAACCATAGTCTTTAAAGAAAAGTAAAATAACAGAGGAAATCTGGAAGATTCCAATTCAAGATGCGTATTTTTTTAGTTTCACCATCGAATTACAATTTCTTGTTTTTTTAAATTTGCTGTTTTTTCCATGTGTATAAAATGATTTTTCAAAACCTTAGAATGTCTCAATAGGTACGATAAAGTATCAATCACCTCCTAATTATTTTAAGTGTAAAAATATTTCTATATATCATTCGAGGCTACGGTATACTCCTTCATTTTTGACTTATGAGGAATAACTCATCGTTACTAAGAACCCACTTGAATTATCCCCGAAATTTCTTCCGGCCTATCAATAAAAAATATTATTAAAAATTCTCCTACGCAAATGACGGTTGTATTTCTTATGCGAACGTAAATTTTGATACATAGCGCTAACATGCGCATTTTTCTAATTTTCGAATAATAATAGCTTATTCCATCCAGATTTTATTTCTTATTATTTAACGGTATGCCCATCAACAAACAGCAACTTGTAAATATTCTTGATTGTACAAATAAATTTTTGATTTTTTCAGCTGAATCCATTGTTTCTTTTCTGAAATATCTATTTTTTTTAAATTGATGATTAATTGATATTTTTGAACCCAAATCAATTTTTTCGCTATACTAAGCGATTAGAGTTCCCACCTTGCGGCACTTGCTTTCTATCTTAGTCACATTTTGCCAGGGCAGAGTTTTGTTTCAGCTTATTTCGTTTGGCAGGCTGGATGGAGTAATAATTGTTGAAAAAATGAATCTATTTTATGAGCCACCGCGCACAAGAATATGTAAGTATAGATGTCTCAAAGGTAAACGCGAATGTTTTCAGAATCAATTTTGAGATCAAAATAAGACCTTTTGTTCTACGACGTCTGCCCAAAAAATCACCTCTCCCCGTAAAGTTGCAGCCCCCAAAAGTTTGAGCCGAGAAACCGTTTTTTATAATTGTGAAGACACTTATGATAGAAAATTAGCACTTCTAAGTTTTTTTACGGACGAATTGTAAGTATATTTCAGTCCCCAAACAAACTGACATCATATGTCAAGAAGGTTTTAGGAGAGCTTGAATTTTTGCATGGGGAAGAATTTGGAAAAACGTAGTAAAGCAAAAAGTTTTAATTTGATCTCAAAAATTTATTCTGAAATAATTCGCGTTTAAATTTGGGACACTTTGTATGGTGCCAATCAATAAAAAATGTTTTCGATCATATTTTTTCCCAAATCATATTTTAGGAAGGCTCTGGGAGAGCTTGAATTTTTGAAATGGGGATATTTTTGGAAAATGTTGTAAAGCAAAAATGTCTTCGTTTGATCCCAAAAATTGATTCTGAAAAAAGTTTCGTTTAATTTTGGGACACTCTGTATGTTGCCAATCAATAAGAGAATTTCCTTGATTTTCCCGCAAGCTTTAGATTATCGGAATGACGGTCGGAAACATTTATTTAGGAGCTTTCAATAACATCTAGCTTCGGCAGAGAGGATGAGGGGATGAGTAGGAGATGGGGAGCTCTGAGCAATTTACGGAATGAAAATAATCCCGGATTATTTAAATTAGATTCTCCTCCGTGAGACGCATCTGATTATTCGGGCTCGCGAGGAAATATAGACTTCAATAATACATACGCTCAAGTTACGAAACATATTTCCTCGTTTTCCACCTAACCTATTAATAAGCGATTTTCTATCACATATTCTTGAAACGGTAAGAATATTTCCAAGTGGCACAGTGCGACGAGAATTGTGAAATGAGGTAGCATTTCAATGCAATGAAATTGCAATTATTTTTTGCTATAAATTGCGATATTTTCACATCATTCAGTGAAAAAATCCGGTCAACAGAATGAGCGCCGAGTATCGCAAATATAGGCAATTTGCATAGCAAATTGCAACTCATTTTAATTTTCTAGCAAACATTTTCAATAATGCGAGCGCCTGCAATTAGTTGAAAAGCAACATAATCTATACCCCGATGCAATAGCAGTAGTTGAGAACATTTTCGGTAAAAAGGCATATGGGGCTTGCAATGTTGCTAAGATTGTGCAATTTTTTGTAGCATTTGCGGTAGACGAAATACATTCACAGTCGACCTACTTCCTCAGAATAGTGAAGGAAAATTCGGAGCAGATTTAGAGACAAATTTATAGCAGAACTGTCGGAGAAGTTACTTGCAACTAGATAACTTCGTAGCACAAACTTAGCAGCGTTGGGAGTCCCATACGCCCTTACACTAAAAAATATCTCAATTATGAAAGTGGTGCGGAGACTTGTTTTGGGATTGGGATAACAATAAAATGAGTATTAATATTACTTGCATTGTTCCATCTAACTCTGAAAAGTATCATCAACTCAAAAAAACTCAATCCTGGTAAAATGGACATCCATGGAGTTTTAGTTATTGAAATTTTATCCCATTCCTACCCTCATTTCTCTTTTTCTCTCCTTTCTTTCTACTTAAATACTTATAAATTCAACGTAGAAAATTTTTAGCAAAACTTTCCACCAAAACTACATTCTTACCATAAAAAAAAAAACAAGGGAATCTT